ACAGCAACAGCAACAGCAGCAACTGCAAATTGCCAGCCAGCGTTACCTGAAGAGGGTTGCAACTGTGAGTCACCTTACCTAGTTCCAATTGGCATTACACATGACAATTGCAGCGATTACAGTGCTTTCCTCCATTACCGAGAGTACTTTCTCCCATGGAATCGCTTAAGAGCCAACATTACGACACACACACACACAGATAGAACTTTCTCTAATACAACAGGTAAACATAGAAGTTAGAACTTGCTTAGCTAGTCGCCGTTGCCTTTGAAGAAAATAATAATAACTGGCTTTTGTCTTCCAGTTGAATGGTGAAAAACTTGTTTTTCCTCAGTTGCATTCAAATGCGAAAATGCATTGATAGAACCGGAAAATATGTGGGCATGCTCATTGCTTAAATACCCCGTCAATGCTCAATAATACTAATTGATAATGAGAATAAGCAAGAGATTAGGTTTACCTCAAAACTTGCAGTTGATTTTTGGGACTAAACGAGAAAAAATGATATGATAAAAAGGTCTTAAAGGGGCAAAAATAATTATAATAATTAAAATAGAACGAAAAATAAAAATGATAGTAATAAAAATAATAATAGTTAAAATAATGAAAATGAGAATGATATTGGTAATGATAAAAATAATAATTGGGATAATAATAATAATAATGATAATGATAATGATAATGATAATGCTAATGCTAATGCTAATGCTAATGATAATGATAATGATAATGATAATGATAATGATAATGATAATGATAATGATAATGATAATGATAATGATAATGATAATGATAATGATAATGATAATGATAATGATAATGATAATGATAATGATAATGATAATGATAATGATAATGATAATGATAATGATAATGATAATGATAATGATAATGATAATGATAATGATAATGATAATGATAATGATAATGATAATGATAATGATAATGATAATGATAATGATAATGATAATGATAATGATAATGATAATGCTAATGATATGATGATAATAACAATGATAATGATAATGATAATGATAATCATAATGATTATGATATTGATAAAAATAATAAGAATAATGAAAATGAGAATGATATTGGTAATGATAAAAATAATAATTGGGATAATAATAATAATAATGATAATGATAATGATAATGATAATGCTAATGCTAATGATAATGATAATGATAATGATAATGATAATGATAATGATAATGATAGTGATAATGATAATGATAATGATACTAATAATATGAAATCGACTTACAATGGAATAATATAGCATGCAATATATAATATTGTATAACCTAGCATGCATAAAAATATATATATGTATATATTTTTTTTTTTCAACAGGCAATCAAACCCCATTTGAGCTACATTGTGCAGGGTATATGTTAGCAGCGATGTGCAGCATGGCAATGACCTTAGCCTGAGACATGCAGCCTTAGCCTTGAATCTTCTAATAGTTTCCAGTGTGGTTTGTTGGCTTTTCTTGCACCAGGTGAGGCCCCTTTGTGGAAAACTGGCCAAGCGAGTGAAATTACAAGTGGAAAACCAGTTGGATAACATGCACGAAAAGCGCTGTAATCGAATGCAAAGCTTTGCTGTCTACTTGGCAGCCATGCCCTCGGTCAAGGGTAGAGCTCTTGATGCAACCATGCCGGTAAGCCGCAGATCAGCCAAACCAACTATCAAGTTTACATTTTGATGAGCAATTGTCTGGACAATGACAACAACAACAGCAACAACGTTGTGTAATTTCAGTTGTCGCACAACTAATGCAGCAACCCCACCCACCCCCAGCTAAAAATATATCGAGGAGCTGCAACTAACTCAGTTGCACAACTTTTACTTTGGAGACGACAGACGCCAACATTGTACAATTTTTCTACTTTTTTTCGTTAGTTTTCACTTGCCACACAATCGCCTGAGGGGGGGGGGGGGTTGAGGGGCAGCGAGTGGGCGTGGGTCGGGAGTTGCTACGAAATGAGTCAACGGCAAATGTGCAAAATGCAGCAGAAGCAGCAGCAGCAGCAGCGGCAGCAGCAGCAACGTGCCGCTGAAAATCTGGTACGGGTAGGTCAACCACCAGACATTGAACCCAGCGCCAGCAACAGCAACAACAACAACAACGCTTAAAAGAGCGCATAGAGTCAACAACAACCCACGTTCCAGCGACAAAAGCATGCAGAAACGGAGGACTGAAGCAGCAGCAGCAGCAGCAGCAGCAGCAGAGTCGCGCAAAATATGTTGCATGCAACAACGGCAAGCAGATGGAGCCGGAGAAGGCAGCAAACACGAGTGCGCCAGCAGAGTTCGACTTCGTCGTCGTCGTCGTCGACGTCGTCATCGTCATCAGCGTCGCATTGTGTGCGAGTTTAGTGGGTTGAGTGACACAGACACAGTTTGCTTTTGGCACGGGAGCGGAACGGGTCGAGCCGAGCTGAACGAGTTTTTTTCCCTCTTTGTTGCCTTTTTTTTTTTTTTTTGGTCCGACTCTTTGCTGTATGTTGTAATATGCGCGGCAAGTGTTGCCAGTGCACACAGTTCTTCATTTCTAGCTCGTTTAACGTTGTTACGCTGTACAAAAATCAACAGTCTGGCAACGCTGTGCGAGCCCTTGCTCCGCATTGCATGTGCGGATGTGCGAATGTAGTAGTCGACGTCGTTGCCAACGATTAAATGCAGAAATGCGCACACAAGCAAACGCACACACACACACGCACACACACACAGACGGCATGTGCTATGTGTGTGTGTGTTTGTGTGTGTGTGCTGGTGTATTTGCTCTGGTCTGCAGCGCGGCGAATGAGAATGCGAGTCGAATTGAGTCGAGAGTAGAGTAGGACAAAAGGGAGACACAATTTTGGTAGCAATGACCTTCACCGCGTTGTTCAAGTTGTGGCGTGGCGCATGCTGTTCTTGTTGCTGCTGCTGCTGCTGCTGCACAGGAAAAAGATAAAAAGATATAATAATAAAGGGGAGGGGGGCAATAAATGATGCATAAGGCGTCGCAGTTGGCATCGCTGTCGTTGGCTTGGTGTGGGCAGGCCAAGTGGGAGGTGATAGTTAGGTGTAGCATTCGCTTTTTACTCGTTCTCTCTCCTTTGCTCTCTACCTCTCCCTCTATCTCTCCCCCGCCGCTCGACAAACGCTTTTCAGAGTGCACAAATTAAACAGGCGATAGATAAAAGAGCTTTTGTGCTAGGGTTCTGCGGGGACTCCTATGGCTGCCATTGAAAATGGAGAATGGAGTTCATGACCAGATCTGCTTGCTTGCATGTATGTGTGAGTGCGAGTGCGAGAGTGCTTGCATGTATGTGTGTGTGTATATATATACATGTGGCGTAAACTTGACACTGGCGCTGACTCTGGAGTTAGCTCTAGCTGTGGGTGTGGATGTGGGTGGCTTTGCCCAAAGGGTGCGGCCTGGCAGCACTGCGAACTGTTCTGGTTGTTGTTTTCTCGTTTTTTGTTGTTTATTTTTGTTTTGTTTTGTTTTTTTGTTTATTTTTTTTTGTGAAAATTGCTCAAGTCGACGCTGCAGACGTTGTTGGTGTGGGTTAACTTTTGGTATCATTGACCTGCTCCGCTCTGCACTCACAATGCCACTGGCCGTGGCTCTGACTCTGGCTCTGGCTGTGGCTCTGGCCGTGGCAGTGGCTCCGTTCTTGCTGTTTTGCTGCCTTTTCTGCTGCTGCAGTTGTGTGGCAGACGAAAAAAAAAAAACACACACACACACTCTGATACTCCACCCGGGTTAAACATGTATTTGGTTGCATGGTTGGCCGGCTTGTTGGGGCTGAGCGGGCGGCGGGGAGGCGGTGGCAAGATAGTCACGCTGAGACGCCATTTTGGAAATTGTTGCCAACACAACAGTAAAATTTTGTATGTACGTCAAATGTGCATAGCTTGCTTCTGTCTATGTGTACGTATTTATGTATTCACCACTTTACAATAGGTTAGTCTGTTATTGTTCTATTGTGAATGTGTGTGGTGTGTGTGTGTGTGTGTGTGTGTGTGTGTGTGTGTGTGTGTGTGTGTGTGTATGTGTGTGTGTGCTTGTGACTCCGTGTATCCCTGCAGACTTATGTATGTGTTAAAAGTTTTCGCTTTTCGTTGCTTTTCATTTTAATTGTGATGCACTTTTCATCATTAAGTGAAAATTTCTATGGCTGCATTCAGTTAAGATGAGCATCTGGAGTGGGCTGCAACTCCTGGGAACTCTTACAAGCTGTTATAGTGTTTGCCAACGCCAAAATTAGTTTTAAAATAAACATCTAAATTGACTAAATTAGTTTTTCTTCACTTAATTAAAATATTACAAACTTTTATCTGGAAGAGGATATATATTTAGTTATCATTTATTTGGTTACTCTCATCCCAGCATAGGATCGACCCTAAACCCTGTTATGTGCTTAGTAAAAAAACATATTCATTGTTCCCCAAACATGTTCTTCAATGTCTTAACTAGAAGGTAACCCGTGTGTAGTTCTGAATTTCCTTAACCTATATTCCCAAAGATATAAATATATTTGCAAATATGTACTTACCCAAAAAATCATCCATAAGTAGGAGGGAGCAGTCTTTTATGTATATACACCCCTAAAAAACAAAAATTTGAAAGCTAGTTAGTAAAAGTAAGTAATACAAAACTAGAGTAATTTAATGAGAGAGATAGGGAGAGAGAATTAAAGATAACTTGTTTCGAAAATCGGAACATAAAATCCTTGAAGTCTAACCTAAATTCATGAGAATCGCATAGTAAGGCACACATGGAAAAAAGTTTTGTTTAATTTTCAGGGAGGCGGGGGCGGGGGCGTGTGCTATCGGAAAAGTGAAATTACCTAGTTCGCGCTTTGTATACGGGAGCAAATATACCCGGTCTTGCCCGGGACAAGATTTCGTTACCTCTTAAATAACCGATCCTTCTGAATCGTCTTAGTAGACATTGCCTTTAACATAGGTTTGTTTATATAGATCAAACCTAGCCTGAGGCCATAAATTCTACAACCATAGAGCTGTAAACATCTTATAATATTTAATCACATAAGTTTTCTATCGTATCGGGATAAAAAACCGCACAAAATGGACAACTTTAACGTTCCTAAAAAAATAAATCGAAATGTGATGAAGGCTCTATCTGCACTTGAGGGCAAATATTCGATACCGGCATTCGTGCCCGCCCACAGCATTGTCCGTCAGGTGGAGTTGCAGATGCGTCGGAGCAAGAAGATGAATAATATGGAGAACTATGTCATGAGATCGCTGTGCACCCTAACGCATCTGGGCATCTTAGCCCGCACAGGCACCTCGGATTATGCACTGCGTCAATCTCTGCGGTTCCCAAACGGAGTTAGCGCAATTCCATGGCAGACGCCGCCCATGCCGGAAAGGGTAAGTGCTGTTCATGCATATATATATATATATTTGACTGAATGCATCTGTGCATCAAATAGCGTTCTAGGCGCAATCTTAAGGGCTCCAAAAGTGAGCCCGTGAGGCGTGTGGTAAATAGCCGCAGCGCTAAGGCCAGGTTCAAACCGAGGGCTGTAGCCAAGCCAGTTCGACGCTCCTCACGGCAAACTGCCTCGAAAGCCAAGGCAAGTGAAGCTCTACTAAGACAGGACGCCGACCTCTGTGCCGAACCAAGGAGTTCTGATGATATGCTGGGAAACGAAGCTAGAAGTCTACCTGCAACATTTGAAGCACAAAATGACTGTACTGCAAGGACATCATCCAACGAACGTTGGGACTTCAACTCGCCGCTGCCTATAACCTATTCGAGCTACTTTTAAACGACGAACTTTGGTACGGGAAATCAAGTATTAACGTTTTCTGAAAAACAAACAGATTAACTTTGTATTTGTGGCAATACTTGAATTTCTTAGCTTTCCAAAATTTTGAATAAACCAAATTTTAAATTACGAACAAAATAGTTTTTCATAATTCATCAGTAATTCTAAAAATACGAAGTAATTCGTAGCCGGAGCACTTTTAGCTTGTCACAGACTAAAATGCCAAATAGTTGGGTCAGGCTAGGTGTGTCCGTGTGCTGCAAGTCTGTGTGGCATGAAACGAACGCACGAGAAGCTTATAGAGTGCCATGGCCATTGCCATTGCCACTGCCACAAATGCAGGCGCAGAGGCAGAGTCAGTGTCAATGCCTGCAGCGCCGCCAAGTGAGAGTGGGAGGGGTTGGGAGGGGGAAAACGACGACGACGACGACGGCGACGACGACGGCGACGAGGGCTCTTTTGTGTTATGGCTCGTTGGGAGCAACGACGCCAACGATTATAGCATCAACGAGCGTTTCCAGGGGCCATTATCCTATGTTTATGCTAGGGAGCACTCCCGACGACGCATGCGCTTTGTTGCAACTCGAATGTTGCAGCAACTGCATTGAGCGCGTACTTTTGAATGCGCTGCGTTCAACTGCAGCTGGCATATTCTGCAAAGGTGACAAATCCCTAAGTTCATAAAATCTAAATCATTTACTTTTATATTCATCTAATGGAATGCATTAAAAATGACGAAGCTCGGCTGGAAATAGATACCTCAATCACTGATTGATTGACAGCTCTGGCGTTGCCAGACCTTTGCAAATTTGCTAATGCATATCGAAACAATGGTGAGAAATGAGTTCAATAAATCTAAATAATTAACGTTATATTCAAATAATATTCCTGAATGTAAGCAAAAAGCATGATTTGCTGGAACCAGTTGCATCAATCACTGCTTATGATTGATTACGAGCATTGGCGTTGCCAGACAGTTGAAAATATTATGCTGCATTGATGGATGTGAAATACCTTTAAAAATGCATTGAATATGGTAAGTTCGTCTAGGAACAGATACTTCAATCACTGGTTATGAGTGATTAGCATTGGCGTTGCCAGATCGTTGAATATTTGATTATGCATTACGAAACAAGGGTTAGAAACTAAATAATTTACTTACAAACAGCAAAATATGCTGGAACCAGCTTAAGATTGATTATGAGCATTGGCGTTGCCAGACAATTGAAAATGTTATTTTGCATTGATTGATATGAAATAATGGAAGCTCTACTGGGAACAGATTTACCAATCACTGATTATGATTGATTGTCAGCATTGGCGTTGCCAGACAATTGCGAATTTAAGGCACAAATTGTGCGTGGTTTGCGCAGAGCACGAAAACTTGTTTGGCTAGAAACGCTAGATATTAACTGCGCTTTAGTTGCAGATTCTTCAGCAACTGCAACTGCAACTGCAACTGTAACAGCGTTCAACGACCTTGCAACTCGTTTGCAACATTGGCCACGGCAACGAGAATTTTCTCATAGTCACATTAGAGCTCTGCGTTTGCCGCGATTTGGGAAGGTGCGGACCTACTCACGATAGCATCGGCGGCATTTGGTCATTGAACCGCACCGGGCCAGCAGACGTCTTCTCCATGCGCGTTTTGCCCAGCTTTTTTGTTTTTCTTTTATTTTCCAGTTATTTTAATTCCCTCTTTCCGGCCAGAGTGCAACCCTCGAAATAAATGCTGACAGCTACAACTTTGGCAAACACATCCTGGGCCATAAGTCGCAGTTGGTTTCTCTTTCTACCACTGTCTGGGCCGGTTCGGGCCGGGCCGGGCCGGGCCGGGCCGGGCCTGGCCTGGCCTGAGTTGGTCTGGTCTGGTCTGGTCTAGTGGTCGCCCGGCTGCCCGTCATGTTCCCTTGGCGCATTTCTGTGCGCACTTTTGGTACAGTTTGTGCCCAACACGACATAAACGACGCGGCCCACTCGCTGGCTGCTCCACTACCCCAAAGCTAAAAACGATTTCGTTATCATCGCCACTCTCCGGCACAGCACTCTCCTCATCCTCGTTCTCGGTCTCGTTCTCGGTCTCGTCCTCGTTGTCGTCCTCCTCGTCGCCCCCAGCGTTTGTTTGTCCAACACGGAAACCGTGTGACAAGGAAGCGAAGCCGCTGCGAGTGCAATGGCGACTGGGGCAGACGCTTTTGGCTTGGCTCTTTGTCAGAAATGGTGGTTGAATCGGCCCAACTAAATGCATATATCATCTTTTAGCTTACCAGTAGGTAAATTTATGATATGCTGAAGCAGACGAAGCGTTAGAATGTGAATTCAAGGAAATTTATGAAGAAATTAAATGTAATTAAAAAGGAAGCCGGATTTTCTATAATTATCTTAATTTTTAAAGTCAAAATTTTGTGATATTTCCTTATCGTCGTCAATAATTAAGTATTCTTTTGGTATTGTAAGGTTTATAGAGCTTAATTGTTGCTATATCTTGATATGTAATTAGCTTTATATATATATCTGGCTTTCTAGTGTTGTAAAACGTTTTGAAGTAGGTTAAGTGTTGCGAAAGTTATGCGGAATATTATCAACCAGCATCCAATAATGGCAAACTAAAGAAAATATCATTTTAATCAAGTTGAGTAACATGCTGTTGCCTAATACCATCAGATCCTAAAATCCCTTTATTCAAATATCAGGAAATTAAGTTTATCCAATTCCGTTTTCTGGAACAACTCGCTACATCTGTATAGCCAAAGCCGTTTTCTGGAACCACTCCAAAAGACTTGACTGAGCACAAGCTGCCGAGTGGCTGACACAATCTACTCCATGCCGCTTCCCGGTTCAGGGCATGCTTCGGTGCTCGGCCCACTCTCAAGCCGGGCAAAACGAGAAGCATTTCGTAGCGAAAAAAAGGCACGAGCAGATCAATGACCTGTATTTCACAGGCTGAGACACATTTCAATCGATAAAAGTGAAGAGTTGGGGCACCAGCACAGCGCACAGCACAGACAGATGCCCGCACAGACAAGGCAACAACAACGACAACAGCAACAACAACTACATGCAGCACGTAAAATATGCAAGCTTCCTGCAGGAAAAGCCAAAATGGCAGACACTGCCATAGAGTGAGCGGCGTGTGGCATGCGGCATGCGGCAAACGTGACGCCAGTGGCAGTGAAACCAACAAGGGAGCAGGCTTTAGATCCACTCAGAAAAGAGGGTGGCTGCCGCACTGGAACTTTCTAACAAACATATAACAAATATATAATTGATATTACCAGGAAAGGAAACACAGCAGCATTACATATAAATTGTAGCAAGGTGAGGAACTAACAAATGTCGTGCACAGAGTCCGATATAAGTATAAACAACAACAGCTTTTCAGGGCTTAACAATGGGGAGCAACGGCTGGGACAACCCTCAGAGAGCGCACAACTTAGAGGGTGTTGTCTGAGTGCCCCAACATACATTTTAAGCATAGCAACTGACCGTGGCCATAAATGCTCGATGCGAAAGTACTCGATACATGTAGCCAAAAGTACCCGATGCGGATATATCTTACTAAGAAAAGAGTTATGCATGGTTTACTCCAATCCGGAAATTATATGAACCGAATGGCGTTACGTTAGCGCTCTTTTTCTTAAATGTGTTATATTAAATTTTTTTAATAAAAGAGTTTTTTTTTCAATATCTAACGAATATTGTAAAGAGAATAAATATAAGCTAAGAATCAAAGTTACCTTTTCCCCAAATGACTTTAATTAACATAGACTTTTGAAATTCTAAGATAGTAAATTTAAAAAAATAAAATCATTTAAATAAAATAAATAAATAGATTCCATTAATCATATTGGGCGATATTTCATAAATTTCAAAAACACATAATGCTAATTAAATCTTGATATGCAATAGAAGCTAGGATTAATTATTGCAATCTTTGATATTTAGGGACTGAATAATTTTAATTATCAGCACAAGATCAACTGGAAGTGAAAAACATAACAGAACCAGTTAGTTGCAATTATTAGAAACTAAATAATAATTGCTTGTAAAATTTGATTGCATTTTGAGTTAAACACGTGTCCATTAATAAAAAACTGTCCGTTTTACATCGTCATTTATTTTACAAAATTTGTTCAGCCAGACGCAGCATCAAAGCCAATTAGCCTTACTAACACACTCCCACGTTAAATTCTTTTTGCTTTTGTCTCTTTGGTTTGCTTTTCATGTCACATCGTAGTCTAAAATGAAAACTACAGGGAAAGTCTCTACATGGAAAAAAGCGAAATTTTGCCGGCTGCAGCGTGCAGTTTGCAGCTCTGCAAAATGGAGTTTCCTTTGCAGCATTTGTGCTCTCTCTCATATGGCGGTTCAGCCAGCCCCCCTTTGATGCAACGGAGTTGGAGCGTCTTCCGTCTGACAGATAATGGCCCCACACTTCATACCAAAAGCAAATGCTTGCCATGGTATCCGCACAGGCGTTGAAAAGTGCAAAGCTCAGGGTAAGTCGTAGCAAATGCCCAAAAACATAATGGGTCAGTGTAAAATAATAATTAGTGTGTTCCCCGTCACGGTAAGTACTTACGCTTGAGCCATTTAAATTATATGAATTTATAAATATATTTTGTTTACCCAATTAGACAGTCATTATTTTTGTTGACTTTCTAAACTTAACTAGTAAAAGCTAAGCGTTTCTTTTAGTTACAATATATATTTATACAGATTTGTACTTACCCAAAAATGCACATGAACAGCCCCCATTTCTGTATCTCCATCTATTAGATGGACAAATACAGAATTTAATGTATCCATATCACTGAAAGAAAAATATGTAGAAAGTAAGTAAGACTAGGAGAAAAGAGAAGCGAGAGAGAGGATTACTGAGAGTGAGGAAAAGAACTAAGTTAATTTTAATAAGATATTCAACGCATCTCATTTTAAATACTTAAGACTAAGGCATTAAAACTGTATATCCTGCTTCAATTCATGAGAATCGTGTAGAAGGGCGACATATAAAATAATACACATTTTTAAAAATATTTATTTAGACCGCGGATTATTCTTATTAAAATCTAAAATGAAAAATAATTTTGTTTTAATATGTATTTCTCCGAAAAATTTCGGTTGCACTTCGTCAACGTTCTTTTTTTTTTTTAATTTTCAGCACAGCGCGAGTAAAGTTCGTCTGTGTTTCATATAAGTGAACCACTAACACATCAATATTTACATGCATATATACATAAATAGATGCATAAAAACATTCGCAAGCAATTAAATTAAAAGTCTACATACTGCTTAATATAAAACTTTAAATCAAAGCTTATATTTATGAGAATACATTCAATACATATGCAGCCTTGCCGGATTAAATTATGTGTCAAATGACATTTTGATTAAATGCCTGAAAAGGTATTAACAATATATGTGTCTCTATATTTGGCAAAATAAAAAAAAATATCAGAAAAATTGACACAAATCTGTAAGTCAGCTAGTATAAGCTAGCAGCTAGCACTCAAATTAAATTAATTGAAAAGATTTACATACAGTATTATTTTAATTGTGTTAATATATACAAAAAAAAAGTTAAATCAAATAAACGCGCTAAAGTCTTAAAGTACATAAAGCAGTGCATTTCGTTCAGTAGGCGAAGCGCAGGAAGCAGTGCACCACAATGATCTGCTTGAATAAACTGCTTCGCGTACACCATGCCGCTGCTTTATGCATGTCGAGCACTATTGTGAACACCTTTTAGGGCTTGCTTCCTTTTGACTGTAAACTGACATTTTTTCAAATATTGCGCGCGTCGTTTCCAAGTAATTGATAAATATATATAAAATACAAATGATGTAGATTTACAAAATGCGTAATTTGTTCAAATGAATTGAAGTCAATATTGGTTGGAATTTATTCATAAAACCCAGTTATTGGGATCGTATTTGTCCTTTTCAGAGCTGCAGCTACCGTATTCCTTTTTCTCAGCTGTACACGCTTGAGTAGCTACATCAAAATACATTTTGCCGTCGCATTTAAATGGCGTTTTTTCCGCACCATTCTCGCACTCAAAATAATTCTGGCAACCCTCAATCTGGGCCAGCTCGAAGCCCGAGTCACGTCCGTCGCAACGATCCTCCGAGCACTTGCGATCCGCCCTGGGCTGACAGAGTTGGATATCCTCGTTGAAAAAGGTGTCAACGGGGCACTGGTGCCACATCGGCTCCGGATCCGGCACACCTGAGCCCAGATCGCGGCAATGGAAATAACCGCGACAGGTGGCACCGTCGGCCACAAATTTGTCACGTATCGCCAGCTTCTTTGTGCCGCAGACATTCTCCGGATACGGATGCTTTTCACACTCCACCAAGGACTTCTTAATGCACGATCCTGTCGCCGCATCATAGTAGAGTCCATCGTCACAAGCGGTCGTTGTGTTCACACCCGCCTTGCAAGTAAGATACTTATTGCAATTGAGCTCATCCTTAATCGTGACACCGGCGGGCACCACATTGCACAGCTCATACTGAGCATTGCACGTCACGAACTTGGGATAATCGCAGACCTGTCTCTCCGGGTCAAACCACAAATCGTAGTCACAAACACCACTAGTCACAAGTTTGGTCTTCTCGCAATAGTGCCAGTTGGCACAGTTGTAATCGTCGCCCACATAGCCCGTAGTTTTCGAGGTGCACGGCGATTTGCAGTAATTATCCGATGTTTCCAGTGATTTATAGCAGGTGCCCCTGGCCAGATTGAATTTTGATTCGCTGCCAGTGCATATTTCGCCCTCTGTGCTCACATGATTCTGACACACAATTGTCCGATCGCAGTAGCCGGGCTTGCGCAGCTTTGTCCCATCCGGAAAGAGGCGACATATATCCTTGCCGCTGCTTATATATTCCGTTTGACTGCTGGACTGAAGCTGGACAGCCAATGCCAGCAGCAGGAGCAGCACACTGGCAGCTCCGACAGTTCCCTGCATCGTTTCAAAACGCCTTGTCTGTTGGGTAAACAAAACCGACTAACTGCCGGCAAACGGGAATTGGGCATTATATAGACAATAAATTGTAAGTTCTTACTCTCCGATTTGAAGCAGCGAGCTATATATTTGGAAAGCAATTACTATTTCAGCTCAGATAAGATTTGGCATGTCACATCGCATCGCTATCAGCTGAACCGCCGGCATCCACCTGCCTCTGACAATTGCCCGCTGATTGCTGCCATGTTGAAAAAAACGAAGTTGCAAAAAACTAAAAGAAGAAGTTTATTTTCGGCGCAACGTGACCTTGACAAGTTTTGAAAGGGTTTGGAAATCCCAAGAACTGCATCAACTTTTCGCAGAATTTCGACACTGGCGCCAAATCTGGAACATGTTTACGTCTTGAGTTTTTGGTGTGATTAATGCTTGCGTTAATTTATTGTCAGCCAAAGAAGATTTATGCCGCAAGATATTTGATAAGTATGTACAGTAATTATTTCGGAATTGGCGGCGCGTTTAATAACAGGTGTAAATATATCAATTTTGAAGTAAATACATGTGTTTCTATATCTGATAAGGGATGACTGACGTCTCAGGTCCCACAAAGGTAAACGAACAGCTGAACAGCAATTATTGAACACCTCGCATTATATTTTTGCTTTATTTAATTTATTAACATTTCGTTTGGGCATCTATTTAAAGTATACTTGGCAACTGTGTTGAAATAGCCCAAAACTAGTAACTAAATATTAAATTTAATCATTTTTATAGAATTATTTCAATACAAATTAAATTGAAATTGATTTTTATCAATTAATAAAGGAATGAATTTGAAAATTAAATTGCAACTCATTTTTAACGCTTTCCTAATTTCCCAGCTGTACTTTTCTCGTTGCCCGACGCTTGCAATTCTCAACAAGTTAAAGGCGATTGAGTTCCTAGAGTCGAAGGCAAAGCTAGCTGATGATAGAATTGGGGGTTTCTTGATATAGCTATATGATGTTTATAAGTTATAAAAACCAATAAAATTAATCTCGAGCCGGTCAGCTTTATATAAGCAGAAATAATTTTATTAGTCAAATTCTTATTTACTTGAGCAAAATATTTTACAATTTACTAAATTTTGTTTTTTTATAATTTTGTTTAAGAAAGCAAATGTGATTTTGAGCTCCGTTTGAAACTGAAGAAGACTAAATCGATATAAATCAATTTTCAGAATAAAATTGTCACTTTAAGTCCGGGAAAAATGTACAAATCCAATTTATATGGCTATATTTGAATTATGTGACGCATATTGCCAGTATTTCTGTGCAAGTCAATAAACGGCAGCATGTCGAGAATGAGAGAAGCCTTCGTTGAACTTGAAGGGCTTCCGAGTTGATCGCGGTCGTCACTTGCAGCGAATACTTACAAAAAGGCATGTAAATGACGGAATATACTAGACAAATTGAGCTGTGTGCTGTAATACATTTGTATCGATTCACCACAGCATTGTTTTCAATATTATATTCAATACACTTGTCGCAATGCGCCGCTGATCGGTTCGAATAAAAAGCACTGATTTCGAATGGTGCTAGAATTGAAATGAATTACTTTTTGGGCGATATCTATGCACCAATCGATCTCAGTTCTTCAATTTGAACTGGCTGGTGCATAGTCGTGTTTCGTATTAGTATATAATTTTTGGAGCACTTCTTGTCACATTCAAGCCATCGCGATCACGACTGATAACGAGCCGAGGCGAGCGAACGAGTCACAGTTGACGACTGTGTGGGGCACAGGCGCAACCTCTGCTTAAATCTGAGAAACCTGTTACACCTGAGAAGATTTTTACAATAGACCCCCAGTGCTTGCTTCTCTGCTCTGCTACGTATGTGAGCGATTGTCGATATCAACTCGCATTTCTGTCTTTTGGCTTTTACCTTACCATCACGCCTGGGCCGGGCCCGGCCCGACCCTGCACTAACGCTTACCATGTAATGTACACCCATAACTCCAACTTTGCCCAGCATGAATCAATCTCATGATGCGTCTAGGCCCAAAGACCAAAAGCTTTGCCATTGTACATTTGTTGCTCTTCTTTTCTTTCTTCATTTAAGTGTTAGTTCGTGTTTTTTTTTTTCCTTAGCCTGGTAATTTAATTCAAGCGTACCTCGGCGTGTGTTTCCATACAAAATAATTAGAATTGTCTCGGTTTCAGTTTCAAGCGGATCCCATCTAACTAGACCCAAAGCAGGAAGCCTGTCACCGCACTCGCTGTGCATCAAGGTGCACAAATATATTTCAATCTAACAGTACATGTCATACCTCTAACTACATGGCATGCAAATACATACATATATATTTAATCTAACGATTTCTTTTCTTTTCTGTGCTTGTGTGCGTTTTGTGTCTTAATTGTGCAAATATCGCTTACTGCCAAACTGTTGTTCAAGTTACTCAACGATATCAGATTTAATATGGGTCATGCTGCATTCTTAATACCCTTTCAGCAGGCTAAGACTGGAAGTGTATGGTAATGTAATGTAAACCATGATATTGCATATGGACAAAAAGAACCTGGGTCTACATAGGCATAACTCACATTTCATATTTCAAATGTGACTTAATTTTTTCAACTCTCATTGAGCTCATTATAAGAAGGAAATAGTACAGAATCTAGTTTTAATGATACTTAAGTTAAGAAGAAAATAAATTTAAGACCATTAATTCTTAAATGATCCTTATGTTCACGATGAAAAAAGACTAATCTTAATACTTAAGTATATTTAATTCGTCAGAACAGATTAGGTTATTCTTGAAACTAGCCTTAATCAGTCTTGAATCTAGAACACTTGGAAGAATCACAGTTGATGGAATTAATTCTTGTAATTAAGATATGTATAAACTCCTACGCGTGAAATTGATCTATTGTAAAAGTTTTATAATAATCGGATAGTTATAATATAATGTTATATAATCTATTGTTATATAATTAAAATAATAAGGTCGTCATGGCTGGGTATCTACTTATGAGCTTAAAACTTTCGTCCAATGCTCTCGCATTTTTTTTCGCCCATTATTTTCATCTAACTACACTAAAAAACGAATGTCTTCAAACACACTAAAGCTCAAATACTCATTTAAAAATATGTCTTACCCTTTTGCAGATATGTAAAGCTCGTAGTTCTTGAGTTTGGTTAAGATATCTTGAAATATTCAAATGTTTTCAATACAAAAACACATTGTTGGACCGATTTATACCAAGGGGCCTTGTGTTATAGTCCTTCGATGTTGTTAAGATTTTGCTTATATGTTAGTGGCAGAGTGTAACTAACAAATGTCGGGTTCGGTCAAGATATCTTGAATAATATAAATATGGTCATACAAGAAGCTAATATTCAACCAATCATTCCTATGGCAGGTATATGATTTAGTATTTCGATTTACTAACTGCAATAAAAAAGGACGATAGCAATAACTGAAAAATTACATTTTATAGAAACTGACAGACAAACTCTTGTATATCGACTCGACTTTTGATAATGATTTAGAAAATATGTATACACTAAATGAGGTCGGAGATGTCTCGTCTATGCGTTGCACATATATCCTGATCAGATTTATAATATTCTCTACAAGGGAATGAAAAGTATGCTCCAAAAAATTTTAGCAATAAATAATGGATTTAAGGCATATTCAAGATAAAGTGTATGCTATTGAATACTTTTGGTCAATAATTGTTTTTTTTTTTTATATAAAAGATTTATTTATATTTAAGGAAATACCCCAAAACATGCTCCTATCATAGACAGTAGACAGAGGCAGCTTAAGCTGTTTAGCTTTTGATGACCTTGGCTGTTGTGGATAATAGTATATGCCTCAAGGGTATTCGATTTGATGTAGGAATTCGCCTTAAAATTTCGTTAATAAAATGCCTCGTACTTGTGAAGTTGATATTGTTTAGCTGTAGGCGCATGAATGAACCATTCACTGGCTGATATCAATTATGGGCTTCCAGAGAGAGAGAGAGAGATGCCTTATCGGCATAGGAAGAACATAAATGAACTACTGTAAGTGTTGTGAGTGTCGGGAATATCAAGCATGGCTCGAAATCGAAAACTTTCTGTGCTATTGATAGCGATAAGAGCGCCCGAATCCAGAAACAAGTACGTAATTACACTCGCGATGCACGCAGCCCAAGCGCCTGTGAGATAACAGGTCGGGAGAATTAATCAACAGATAAATACGGTTATTGGTATAATCAAAAGCGATTGACTACTGATTTGATATGTGTACACTTGTTGCCAAAAAAAAAAAAGAAACAAAATTTGTATTTTCCACCTCCATAAATGCCTCAGAGCTGCCAAGAACGCGAATTAGTTCGGCTCGAGGTTCAGGTGATATAAGAATTGGTTTGGCTGGCGGAGAAAAATGTGCAAAGTAAAAGGAGGAATTGGTAAGTACGCGGATCCACCTCCGAGAGTGCGGCACACATGTCTAACAAATATCGAATCCATCGCCAGCCTTCATTGGGTGCCTCTTGCTGTTTGGTGCTCAGCGCACAGTCGCTCAATGGTCGGATATTTGCGGCGACGAGGCGGACGGAACGCGTTTGCCTTTGGCCCTGGACTGCGGACGGTTTGTGGTGTGCCAGGAGCGTGAAGTGGCCGAGATTCGCCGTTGTCCACGCGGCCTGCATTTCAATGCGCAGCTGGGCGAGTGCGATTTCCAGTGGCGGGCCGAGTGCTTGGGTCTTTCGTTATTTGGCAAGGCCGCCAGCGACGAGGAGTGCGTGTGCACATGCTGTGCCGAGGAATGTCCAGACGGCGATCTGGATCAACCGACCACGCACTGCCCGCCAGAGGCGGAGAAGACCACCCCAAGAGATGAGGGCGAAACAGACAGCGTGACGGACAACGTGACGGACAATACAGAGACATTACCCAGTGAGGGCACCACCAGTGCGGGCACCACCCAGGAGAGCCCCACCAGTGCGGGCACCACCAGTAAGAGCACCACGAGGGAGAGCACCTTCGACACGGATCCGACAGAAGCGCCCGGCAGCTCATCCACCCCCCCAACTGGCGGCGAGGTGCCCGCCTACTGCAGCGACAAGCGCACGGATTGCGTCAATGAGCCGGACGGTGCCTTGCTTCAGTTATATGGCGTCTGCACAAAGTATATTCAATGCAGTCATGGCTGTTACATGGAGCGAACCTGTCCCAGTGGCCTGTACTTTGATCCCAGTCAGAATGCGTGCAACAATCCGTGGAACGTGGACTGCACCCCAGCGGACACGGATGATGCGGACGGCGAGCTGGTTGGTCCCTCGGGCACCAGCTGCAGCGATCAGGGCGTTTGCGCTGGACAGCGGGACGGCAAAATGTTCGCCAATCCCGATACCAATGGCTACTTTGTGTGCCAGTGCCAGTGTCCAGTTGCCATGCCCTGCGATGCGAACACCAAGTTCAACGAGACGGCGCAGGTGTGCGATTGGGACCGCACATCCGGTACAATCGGGGGCAGCAACAGTGTGATCTGTCCCGATGGCCTGGTCTACAATGCCACCTCGGATCAGTGCGACTATCCGGACGGCTATGTGCCGGAAGTCGTATGCGAGAACAACAGCACCATTTGCCAGGGTCAGCCGGAGGGCACGCTCTTTCCCATAGAGGGCATTTGCAATAAGTTCTACAAGTGCAACTATAACTGTGCCGTGGAGAAGATATGTCCCAACAATCTGCTCTACGACTCGGAGGCCGAGCTCTGTGATTATCCACAGAATGTGGACTGCCCCTGGGAGCACACACCACCATCGGGCCCGAATGCCGGACCCTCCGGCATATCCTGCGAGAGCAACGGCCGCTGTCTGGGACAACGCGAGGGCACACTGTTCCCATCCCTGACCAGCTGCAGTGGCTATGTGGTCTGCCAGTGCGAGTGCGAGGTTCCAATGGAGTGCAGTCAGGGTTTGTATTGGGATCAAACACTGTACACTTGCAACTATGCGGATAAAGTTGATTGTTCCCTTTAGGAAAATCGAGTTACATTAATAAAGGAAAATCAGAAATTTTTGCTTTCTTTTATACGCTTGTAGCCATTACTGGCGTTGTTCGACCCATTATTTAGGTAAGATTTGAATGGTTGTCAGGAATGTTTTTATAATGATTAATACAAACAAACAATCTTGCCACCTTTGTTAAGCACCAATTAGTCCGTACACAAACAGTTGTTTATACATTTGTAGATTAAGTTAGTCTGCTGCAGAGAAAGATCAAGATCAAAGTTCGCTACGATAAGACTTGCCCACTAGAGATGTTAAGCGTATTAGCTCTGGACATATAAGGATTGAGATTAAGGTCTTTACTTGCTCGGCGTAATTAAATTTAATTGTAATGGGTGTTACCAGAAACTGACCAAAGTACTGGAGGAACCAGTTAGGTTTGCTGATTAAATCACTAATAGTAATTAAAAGAAATAGGAAGTGAATATGACAAGCGAGTGAGATATGGAGAGCTTAAAATATTCCACACTGATTTTTGACAAATTATATGACTTCTAAATCATGAGAAATTGAAGAGTATTTTAAATTAAGTAAACGAGTATTTTCCTGGTTGTGCACTTAAGAAAAACACTTTTAAGTAGAAGAATTGCCTTAAAATATTCAAGTTAAAAAACAAACATAATTGTAATTGCAGACTTACCCAATAATTCACTGCCCTACGAATGATAGGTTTATTGTCATTTATATGCTTGATTAAGCCGTTTTTTATATACACACATTCCTGGAAATAAAAAATTAGACATTAGTTAGAGTAGGAGCATGCGAAAGAAAGGAGAATAAGCTGAGAGATCGAGGGAGCGAAATAAAGATGGATAGACGGTAAGAGGGATAGAAAGAGAGAGAAAGAGAGAGAAAGCGAGATAGAGGAAGAGAGATAGGGAGGGCGAGAGAGAGAGAGAGAGCAGACACAAAGTAAATAAAGTGAATACCGCACGTTGTTGAAATAATCCTCATAATCAAAACTTTAAAACGTGTCAGGCTTACTTGCATTCATGAGAATCGCATAGTAAGGCAATGTGTAAAAGTATAATATAAAACTATATTTCTGTTTAATTTGCAGCGCAGCAAAGTGAGTTATTAGGAAATTTAAGCAATATTGGCTTGCTTTTAGATAAAAGTGCCTTACGTTAGATGTATGCTTGCGTGGCTTTTGCTACAGGCCCGGCCTTGCCTGGGCTAAAGATAAATTATATATAAATTAAAGATTACTTTATGACCCAGCAGGTGATTTTCTTAATGTTAATTTAAGTTCAACTTAGTTTTTTGGGCATTTTCCATTTGCCAAACCGAGAGTGGAATTTTCAAAAGCGCCTTTGAAAATTATTTTAAAGACGATCAGATGAATCTTAAAATTTCGCAATGTCAACCAGAAGCCATTTGCCACATTGTGGGGTGGATTTTCTGAAAAGTGTGAATCACGTCCTAATTTAATTTTGAGTTTGCCAAGTAAAGCAAAAAAGTAAATAAAATATTTCTATATTTAGATGAGCAGCACTGTAGCTCTGTAAATGCACAGCATCATTCCTAATTTTCAGTGAAACCATTTTTGTAACAATATGATTAATAATTTACAGTATCTTGTAACATCTTAGATATTGTCGAAATATTATCAGGCTCCGTTATCAGACCGAAAGTTCATTATGATGATTGGCGAATAATATAAAAGGTGTAATAAAAAACGTAGCTGTTTAGTAAACGTTCGTGTACCAAGGAAATTGCACTTTAAAATGTCTCTCGCACGGTTACAAATACGTCATCAATACGGTATAGAAGGAATATAATGTAAAAGATAACAAGGATTAAAAATATAATTTATTATATAGTGCTCCTCATATGCCTTCTTTTTTGGCAAAGCGCCGAATCGCTGGCTGCAAGCTGCTGCAAAGAAGGCGAAACCCAGGAAGATCCGATTGATTGCCTCAGCTATTATGTCTGCTGCAGTGGAGTTTTTGTTCGCAAGACTTGCGGAAGCGGAAACTATTGGAATTCGAAAGCAGAAACATGTCAACCGAATAATGGCCAGTGTTGTCCCGGTGCTGGCGCGTGCACGGAAAACGAAGTACACGTCGATCCGCAAGATTGTGCTGCCTATTACCTGTGTCTTATGGGACAATTTGTGAGACAAAAGTGCGCAAGCGGTGCTTACTTTGATACCACAATCAAGGCGTGCGTTGTCGATACCGAAGGTTATTGCCCTTCGTCCTAATGAAAGTATTATATATCCAATTCTATCTCACATAAATCTAATTCAAAGAAATAAACATTTATGCACATGACAAACAAACTGTTGTTAAATTTATATTAAACTATGCAAAGTTCAACTGAAGAAAAAAGGGTATTATCGGTTAGATTTATAGATTAGGAAAAGTCTGTTTGGGCAAAATAATCGAAAGCAAAGTTCAATCCAAAACAAAAATATATCAGTTTAAATTTAATGCTACATATTTCAATATTGTATGTGTTCTTCAATCTAGATTGAAATGTTGTTTTCAAAGTAATGCAGCATATTATTCCAAATATCAATCATTTTAATATTTAGCTTCTAAGCGTCTATTGATTTCATCCCTTTTTCTTGTCCCTTCCCTGTCGATTGGAAATTTTTGAACTTTCAGCAATTATTCCTTATCAATTGGCTCGAAAAGTAGCCCACAACAATATATTTTTGTTCTTATTTCTAGGTCAATGTTATTGTTGTTGTTGTTATATTAATTCATATTTTCTTTAGGAAGTTGATAATTGACAATCTAGCATCTACTTTCTAAGTTTCACCTTTTAACATCACGATAAAAAAAAACATTCTTGTGTTCAACTACTGCATATGACTGATATGATCAACAATGATTTCTCTTTATCATTGGCACATGCATCGGACCCAAAGCAGAAACATTTAATTATTTTAATTGCCGGAAAATATAAAAGCGAAGGCAAGGCGTTCAAGGCTTCAGTAGGAAAAAGTCGTTGAACAAGTGGAGTGCAAAAATGGCTAACAATCGAAAATTAAACTACGGTAAGATATATCTTTCATAACACATATATTATAAGCATTCCACCAGCTTCTGCTTGTGAACTTCCAGGGTATCTCCTTTTAATTGCAATGGCACTTGCCATAGGAGCTGCGGCTGACGATTGCTGTCAAAGTGGAGAGACCAAAGCCGATGAAGATGACTGCACCAAGTATTATGCCTGCTGTACTGGTCAATTCGTTCACAAGTCTTGCCCCAGCGGAGAATACTGGAACTCACAGAGCGCCAGTTGCGAAACAGACAATGGCCAATGCAGTCCCTGCACATGCACAGAGGGAGAGACCCAGTCGGACTCCTCAGACTGCACGAAATATCTGGTCTGTAAGAACGGAGAGTTTGTATCCGCATCCTGCGATAGTGGAGACTACTGGAACGCTGATAGCGGCAAGTGTGAGAAGGATAATGGCCAGTGCATTCCTCAAACATGTACAGAGGGAGAGACCAAGTCGGACTCCTCAGACTGCACTAAATATCTGGTCTGCAAGAACGGAGAGTTTGTTTCCGCGTCCTGCGATAGCGGAGACTACTGGAACTCCCAGAGCGGCAAGTGTGAGAAGGATAATGGCCAGTGCATTCCTCAAACATGTACAGATGGAGAGACTAAAGCGAACCCAACAGACTGCACTAAATATCAGGTCTGCAAGGACGGAGTGTTTGTGTCGGCGTCCTGCGATAGCGGAGACTACTGGAACTCTGATAGCGGCAAGTGCGAAAAGGATAATGGGCAATGCGTTCCAACAACATGCACAGATGGCGAAATTGAAGTTAATCCTGCTGATTGTGCCGGATATTTTGAGTGTGTGGATGGCACGCTGGTCAGGAGGAAGTGCGCCAGCCAGACCTATTTCGATACGGACCTAAAGATTTGTGTTATCGACACTGAGGGCGTGTGCATTCCCAAGGTCTGCGATCCCGAGTGCTGTGATTATCCCAATGATTGGATCGGTCCCGTCGATAAGAACTGCTCCGCATTCATTCACTGCCTCTATGGCCACATGATCCTGCAAACCTGTCCAAACAATCTGCAGTTCAATAATCTAACAAAGGAGTGCGACTATCCCGATGTTGTCCAATGCGACGATGGCAGTCCGCCACCCAGCGGTCCCACTGCCGGCCCCTCGGGCACCTACTGTGAGAGCAAGGGCGTCTGTGTTGGACATCGCGATGGTACCATGTTCGCCGTTGGCAACAGCGGAGGCTATATTGTTTGCCAGTGCGAATGTGAGATTAACTTTACGTGCTCACCTGGCCTGGTTTTCAACGAGCAGATCCGTTCCTGCGACTGGCCTGCTAGCCGCTAAATTAATTAATAAAACCATTTAAAGCTGCATTATCGTGCTTAACTTTGTAGTTTTATCAAACGATGAATAAAAGATCGTTTCAATTGCAGCTCTGAGAGGACTTGACATACAATCATCTTTTTTTGATACTAAGGGTTTCCGCGTGTTTCCTGATTTAGAAGGTTTTGCCAAATTCAGTTGGAAACTATACGGATGAAAGTCGAACTTTCACTTAAACGACCGTGGTACCATCCAAGGGATAGATTCGCCGAATAGCTCTAATGCATTTTCCCAAAAATCCGCGAAGGGTCTTGTGGAATTTACCAGCTAATAAACTTCCTCAAGTACACCAAGAACGCCTCGAAAGGTAGACGAAAATAATAATCCAAACACTCGACTAAAAGAAGTCACAGGTATTAAAATTGCATTACTTGTATTAGTATATGTGTATTTAGAAGGGGTTTCCTTTCGGCTTGCTCTTCTTTGACAGTTTTCGCTTATTTCTCTTAGTTGGCTTCTTTTGTACCTCACACTGTGCGATCTTTGGGTAGTCGCATCGCCTCAGCTTGGCATTAAAATGCAATCCTTGTGGACAATCCATTACCAGGAACATCATATTGCTGCACAGCAAGAATTTGCCACAGTCATTACGATGGGGAACCAGAGCATCTTGCTTCTCATCGGAGCAAAGACCAGCGGTTACGGCGGGGCTAGACTTGGGCTCTTCCGTTGACGACACCTGCAGCTGCACCTGCACCTGGCCTATGGAACACTTGGCAGCCGATGCTTTCATGCAGAGTTTTAGAGTTGGACTGAAGTGTTGTCGGCCTGGGCAACGGCGTAGGTGGGCCATTTTCGATCTACACATATAGTACTCAGTGCAGGATCCTGCTTTGGGCAAGGCTACTCCATTTTTTTTGCTAAAGCACAAATCAGCAATCTGATGTTTATTCGGTTTAGGCAGTTGCTTAGGCGGCTTCGTATAGATAGGAGGCTCTTCGATCTCGTCACTGTCGAATTCCAATGTATCGGCTTCTGAAGTATCCATGTCCGCATCGTCGTCGTCATCTGGTGTTTCGTATGGACAGATTACATTGTCGGCATCATCGCAATGCAGGGTTAGGGGGTTGAATCGACTGTACTCATCGCATGAACCAGCAACAGCCTTGCCTTCGTTGCAAATATAGTATCCTCGACATTTCCCAAACATGGGCAACAGGCCGCCGTTTTTCCCCTTACAGATAGAGGTGTGAAACATGAAACCATCCTGTAAGATTTAATTAATACCGATGAGTCCGCCAACAAAGATTACTTTAGTATTATACTTTAAACTGGGCGACAGCTGTTTTATTTAGGATCAGAATTATCCAGAGGGCCACAAGAGACTTCATGTCTCCAGTCACGGTCAAATTCTCGTTTAAACTGTACGAACGCGCCGTCGAGACTTGTTTTTATAGACTGAACAGTTGTGGAAAATGAATGAATGAATGTAGTGCCAATATGTAAATTGTACCGATAGATAATATAATCTTCACTTCCCATGTGACAGATACGTAGGTAACTTTTTTGCCTATCATTTTTACAGGGAATCGATAAAATCGATCATGTGCTTTAAATGAAAAAACTGGAATCAAGATGGTGAACAGCCTACCGCCAACCTCTGTTTCACTGCGCTTTCATAGTTTAAAGGGATCTGTTATATATATGTATATACTAGGCGATAAGAATTGCCATGAAATAGATATATTATTATTTATGTACATCAATTATAACCTACTTCTTCACGCTTCTTCTTATTTGACTGCTATCTGACTCTTTTATACACATTTCTGACAAAAACAAAAGGGAATAGAGAGTTGGTTAGTTAAGGTAAGAGTAGAAAAACGATAGATAAATGAGACAGTTTGTGCAAAGAAGAGAGAGAGAGAGAACACGATAGACTGCATTAGAGTAAATAAGGTAGCTCAAAATTTGATTTATTCTACATCTTTGAACAACTTGGTAAAATAATAATACTATAATCAGAGCAAGAAAACGTACAAGGCTCACTTGAATACCTGAGAATCGCATAGTAGGGCGAATTACGTTTTACGATCCACGAAATTACGTTTCTTAAACTAGCAGAAACTAGTAACGCAGCGCGGGAGTTACCAGACAAGTGAAGTACACTTTTTTTGTGTTGGGCATACGAGAACATAGTCAAGTCTTTCTTCAAACTTTAAATATTATTTTTCCAGCCATTTTGCACTTAGGGGGTTGGGTTTTACAAAAACTTCCCATATGAATTTTCATAAAGATCTTTTAAATCGAGTTTGGAGGAAATCGGATGGTAAAGAATGTTGTGCTGCATGATCTTATATCAATATAATGCATTTAAATGGTTACAATCGGTCGTGTCACAGAAATCTCTATGGTTTTGCCGCACCCATTAGTTGCAAATCTCTCAAAAAATCTGTCGGTGACACAGTACATTAAGACATTTAATTTTTTCGAAGTTCCGTTTCCGAAAGAGCTTCATTGATATATGCCACTGCCCTTTTGCATATACTTATAAAATAATAAACTATATATTAAGAACAACGCAACGCAAATTATATAAGACAACAGTTTTGATAAATTTAAAAAAACTATTAATTGCCAGTTAGCCTGGAAAGATTTTGACTTCCAATATCTTACTACAAATTTTGTAAAATTATAATTCACCAACAAATTCAAATAATAAGCTTCAAATAGAGAAAGCAGAATACTCCCAACATCCATGTTCCAATCATTGGTTTCTTCAATTTTCTTCAGGGGTATTTTTGATTAAATCTTTTAAGGTTTCAAATTTAAGATATGTTCCTAAAAGAATGCTAACTTCCATACATAAAAAAAACAACATCACCCGCAAGTATGCAGGGAGATAATGAGCGCCTATAGAAGCTACTAGAAAACTGAATTTTTATTTTCTGCAAATTTGGCAAATAAAAAAAAAATAAAAACTTGTATAATCTATAATATCAATGCATTAATTTTAGAAAGGAGGGGAGGGAGGGGCCAATAGGCACTCAGCTCCAAGTGGACGTGTCCTCATTATTATGCACACTTTTTTACTCAATAGCCTATCGCAAAAATTCAAGGCTAGGCAGGGAAAATGATTGGTTGCTAGTAAATAAACAAACACAAGAAAAAACCAAACATTCACCCCATTCTGTTCTTTCCCTTGACCAAAATGTTATTTCATTAATTAATACTACGATTTTAAATTAAATTCCGCCAAAATCTTATCCATGCGTATTCATTATCACTTAAGTGGGTTATATCTTGATATGATTAACGTCTGTCTATCAGTTTCCTTCTTTTGCTGGCTCTATTGCTGAAATATCTTTTCAAATACCATTAGTCACTTTAGTGTCTTCCAAGTCGTGGAACTACAAACAATACAATATATTAAAGCAAAACAAATATTAAGAAATAATTCGAAACAATTAAGTGTATTTATCTAAGAACAATAATAAAAGTTAACGCAAATATCAAAATGAAAGGTAAACAATTTTTAAGCCCTTTCCCTTTAAATTGGATTCAAAATATGTAGTAAGATTGTGCTTATGTGTAAAATAAATATTTCTGTATTTAACCAGTGTACATCCTAGAGACATTAACTTAGTTAAGAAGATATTTATATTTTGGATGCGTAACATGAATAATTTCAAATAGAATTTGATGTATGAATAAACGTATAGATTATATGAAGTTAGTGGTGTTATTTATATATGGTTAAGTCAATATGAAATGATATAAGATCAAAAGTTAATACAACTGTCAATTTGCTTGTGTTGCGTGTGTAGTTTGTGTTTTGAAATGAAATTAATCAATTCAATAGTGCACAATTAGTACATTAACTATCTATTCTTCTTTTGATTTAATGATGATGAAAAACGTGTTGCCTTGAGGCGTATGCTTTCCATAATCATAATTAAATGCTATGATATAAATAACACAAAATAAATTCTGCAATCGAGGCGCTCGACTACGATATACCCTAGCAAAGACACACGCAAGCAAAGACTGCTATAGACATTGTGCATTTCATAAACTTAGAGCTTAATCGTATATTCATTTTCTTATATTTATTTAATTTATTATATTAATTCAATTAAATAATTATTGTGTGTAAGTATACAAAAAACGATTACGAATTACTAGGCGGGTAAGATAAATCATTTACCGAGAATTGCAACATTAAAATGCTCTAGCAGTTATTTGGCTAAAATTATGCTTGATTTTTATTCGGGCAGCCTGCTAGAGTATGTGATTGCTTTCTTCAGTTCGATATCTATTATTGGCTTACAGGAAGAAATACCCTTGGAAAATGAAAGAACAGGGTATATGAAATCCGCAAACATAAATGGACCAGCTGTGGTTGCAACAAGCTCGATAAAGATCTCGATATCAATATTTGATAAGGAATGAGCCAGGAACTTACTTTGCTAATGAGGCAGCCACACGAAAATTACTATTTTTGGCACATTGGTTATTATTGCAATGTGTATAAAAGGGTATTGAGAGCAAGCATTCTCTCAGTACCGCCTAGGCTGTGAAGAGCTGTAAAATAGAAATTTTAAACTTCAGCAACTAAAAACAGCCATGCGCAACTTATATGGTAAACGGCAAGAATACAAAATACAGGAATTATTGACCTAACGCTTTTGCCATTTTGCAGCTTTAACCTTACTGCTTATAGCAGTTTCTGCTAGCAGCATACTTGCTGCCAACTTGGATAGTCGGCAATATGTTCCTCTATCCGTTTCAGCTAGGGATGCGGGAGCTCCTTGCCTGACAACAACTCCGCCATGTGTTACCACTCGCCCGCCGTGCTCCGGAAATGCTCAGCCTACAACAACTACATCTTGTGTTACCACACGGCCGCCATGCACCGAAGAGGAGGACGTAACAACAACAACACCATGCAGCACAACAACAACGACGACGACCACAACTACAACTACCACAACAACAACCACAACTACAACTACCACAACAACAACCACAACAACAACGACCACAACAACGACAACGACAACTACAACTACAACGTCTACAACTACAACGACTTGCAGCACAACGACAACCACTACGACAACAACCACAACAACGACAACAACCACAACAACCACAACTACGACAACAACTACAACGACAACAACCACATCTACGACAACAACGACTTGTAGCACAACGACAACAACCACAACAACCACAACTACAACAACAACGCCTAAAACTACAACGACAACAACCACGACTACAACAACAACGACTACAACTACAACGACTTGTAGCACAACGACAACAACCACAACTACGACAACAACTACCACAACAACGCCTAAAACTACAACGACAGCAACCACAACTACGACAACAACGACTACAACTACAACGACTTGTAGCACAACGACAACAACCACAACTACGACAACAACTACCACAACAACGCCTAAAACTACAACGACAACAGCCACAACTACGACAACAACGACTACAACTACAACGACTTGTAGCACAACGACAACAACCACAACTAAGACTACAACTACAACGACAACTACCACAACAACGCCTAAAACTACAACGACAACAACCACAACTACGACAACAACGACTACAACGACTTGTAGCACAACGACAACAACCACAACTACGACAACAACTACCACAACAACGCCTAAAACTACAACGACAACAGCCACAACTACGACAACAACGACTACAACTACAACGACTTGTAGCACAACGACAACAACCACAACTAAGACTACAACTACAACGACAACAACCACAACTACGACTACAACTACAACGACAACTACCACAACAACGCCTAAAACTACAACGACAACAACCACAACTACGACAACAACGACTACAACTACAACGACTTGTAGCACAACGACAACAACCACAACTACGACAACAACTACCACAACAACGCCTAAAACTACAACGACAACAGCCACAACTACGACAACAACGACTACAACTACAACGACTTGTAGCACAACGACAACAACCACAACTAAGACTACAACTACATCGACAACAACCACAACGACGACTACAACTACAACGACTTGCAGCACAACGACAACAACCACAACTACGACAACAACGCCAAAAACTACAACGACAACAACTACAACTACGACTACAACGACTTGCAGCACAACGACAACAACCACAACTACGACAACGACGACTACAACTACAACGTCAACAACTACAACTACGACTACAACGACTTGCAGCACAACGACAACAACCACAACTACGACTACAACGACTTGCAGCACAACGACAACAACCACAACAACGACTACAACTACAACGACTTGCAGCACAACGACAACATCCACAACTACGACTACAACGACTTGCAGCACAACGACAACAACCACAACTACGACAACAACCACAACTACGACTACAACGACTTGCAGCACAACGACAACAACCACAACAACGACTACAACTACAACGACTTGCAGCACAACGACAACAACCACAACTACGACAACAACGACGACGACTACAACGACTTGCAGCACAACGACAACAACCACAACTACGACTACAACTACAACGACTTGCAGCACAACGACAACAACCACAACTACGACTACAACTACAACGACTTGCAGCACAACGACAACAACAACCGAGTGTATTACAACGACACCAAAAACAACAACCTGCACCACAACAACCTGCAGCACAATCACAGTTACTACTGAGTGCAATACAACAACACCCCCGTGCGCAACCACAACAAAGTGTCCAGGAGCAGCTGCAGCGACAAAGGCTAAGCAACCATTTCGTGCCCGACCTAGCTACCGCCCACTCAAAGAAGTTACTCAATTTATGAATGGAGTCTCATCAACCGACGACCAAGTTCAATTCATGTGCCATGGAAAGCCCAACGGTTTTCTTTTGGCCTCCCCAACCCGCTGCAACGACTACTATATCTGCCGCCACCAACAGGCACTTAAGGTCAGCTGTGGCGACAAGTACTTCAATGGCCAAAAGGGCATTTGTGATCTTCCCGAGAATACAGGATGTGTTCAGCACTAGATAACAAGAATATATCCTGATCGCAAGCACAGTATTATACGAAAAGAATGGAGACCAACTAAAATGAAAGCTCTAATAAGAATATTATTTTACCAATAAAATATGCAATTGCTTAAAAAAGGCAACTTAATATATGAACATATATCTATTATATTTATTTGGATCACCTATATTTTATATACATTTGTATAAACTTGTTTAACGTGGTGACTTCCTCATTGGGGATTAAGAAATAGCTAGAAGCAACAACGAAACAACGTCTTCCACAAACGAACATTCCTCATAGTCTTAAAAATACTCGATCCGGCTACCCGATAGTTCGGATTCTTGATTCTTTAGCTACAAGCCCGAGACTGGAAGACCCATAATAGAATAATAGTGTATAGCAGTGAATTTGAGTAGGCTGGATACAGGGTATTTACTATTCTTTATTATCTACTAAGCACTCTCGACCCATTTCTAATGATATAAATATTTTACTCTTTTCTTTTAGCCTATGACTGGAAATATCTCTTGATAACGTTGTTGCTAGTGTTTGCTGATCAATGGATTTCCGCTAGGAGTATCAAAGTAAACATGCTATTCGGATCTACTGCACTGTTTGATTCAACCTTTTGTGAACACCTGCCGACTGGCTATTATGAATACCCCTATGATTGTGCTGCCTATATTTCATGTACGGATTCACGGGCAGAGTTAGAATACTGCGCTACGGGTAAACTCTTCAATAAAGATCTGCAGATATGTGACACTCCCGATGCAGTTGATTGTACCGAATTACCACAACCGACAACAACTCCATCCGATGAGTGCATGGGTGTTGCTAACGGAATTTTGATGCCCTCTGTTGAGCACTGCGACGAGTTTATCGTGTGCATCAATCAGCAAGCTGTGATCCATAAGTGTCCCGAGCCCTATCTTTTCAATCCGGCTTTGCACGTATGTGACGATCCGAACGAGGTTGTGTGCTATGACGGACAGAGTACGGCTAGGACAACCACGGAAGCACCAAAGCCAACTACGGAAGCACCGAAGCCAACTACGGAAGCACACAACGAATGTCAAGGCCAAGAAGTTGGCACCTCATTTCCATATGTTGAGGACTGTCAAGAGTATATTCTATGCCTGGGTGATGATCAGTCTGTTAAGGCCAAATGTCCAGTAAGTTCTTGGTACGATCCAAAGACCGGCAATTGTGGACCTGATGTGCCGCCAACAGCTTGTCAGGAAGTTGAAACAACAAGCACAACTTCAAGCACAACTCTAAGTCCAAACGAACTCTGTGCAGATCAAGAGCTTGGCATCTCCTATCCCTTAGTTACCAACTGTAAGCAGTATATTGTGTGCTTGGGCAACGGAGAGTCTGCCATAGTTGACTGCATTTACAATTCTTGGTATAATCCTGCGACGGGCGACTGTGGACAGGATGTCTCACCCACAGCGTGTCAGGAAGGCTCCATACCTACAACCACAACAGCACCGACTACTCCAGCTACTCCAGCTACAACGCAAACACCCACAACCCAAACGCCAACAACAGATGAACCAATATCTGAAATATGTACTGGACTACTGCACGGGCAGTATGTGAGCTATCCCGACAACTGTAGTAAGTATGTCGTGTGCTCGGAGCCAGTGCCTATAGCATTTTACTGCACTCACGGATATTACTTCAGCGAGGCTCAGCAGCAGTGTGTGGACTGGGACGAGAGCGACTGCAAAACAACGGGGAGCACCGTGTTGCCTCCGTCACCGACGCCTGCCCCTGGCATCTGCATGAACAACAAAGGCAGCACATTTCCATATCCCGAAAACTGTCAATGGTATTTCCGTTGTGTTAACGACAATGTCTACATGATGGCTGTTTGCATAAGCGGCGAGTTCTACGATCCCAACAGCGGCGAGTGTGGTGCCAACGTATCGCCCGATGCTTGTCAAGAAAATTACTCGACTGATTTGAGTACAACTACTACAGAAATGACAACAGTCTCTACCACCATAAGCACAACCGATTTGACTACAACTACTACACAAATAACAACAATTTCTACTACAACTGCACCGCAGTCTGACCCTTGTGAGGGCGTGGCGGTGGGCGAACTGGTACCCTATCCAAACGACTGTACCAAGTTCATTCAGTGCAATAGCCCCAACCCTGTGGTATACGATTGTGTCCAAGGTCAAGAATTCAGTGCTCTACTTAAACGCTGCATGGCACCCTGGTATGCAAACTGTACGATAACACCGACAACTGAAGCCCCTTTGACATCAACAACTGAGCTACCTGACATCAAGACAACAGAGGCCAATCCATCCCCCCATGATTTCTGTGAAGGTAAAACTGACGGCTCACTTGTGCCTTATCCGAACAACTGCTCAAAATATATTGTGTGCCAAGAGCCCATCGCAGTGGGCTATGCCTGCCCAGATGAAGAGGAGTTCAGTCCGACAGAATTGCGCTGCATGGATGCCCAGCTCGCCAATTGCAGTCCACAGGCATTGCAAACTATTCTGACTGAAGACAGTCAACTTTAATATCTAGTAAGACATAAAAAGGAAATATGCCTTGGCAGTAAAAGGATTTAGTTCGCAAACGAAGGTGTTCAATTCCTATCAAATAAATAGTAGGGCTTGGAATAACTAAGTTTGATATGTTAAAACATTAAAAATTCATTTTGATAAGAAATATTATATTGATAAAGCGATTCATACTACATTTGATTACAAAGCTTTTCAATATTTTGGTAGCTTTGATACCACAACGCATTGAAAAAATCATTTACAACCATATAAATTATATTTAATCGTTACTTAACATTTATTGGGGTTCTTTAATAATGGACTAGCGGGTACTTCACGGCAATTTTATTTGCTTTAAAGTTTAGATAAAACTTTTGTGCGTATTTCTCGAGTTCATTTCTCAAGTTCATTTCAACGTAGATAGATATTTGAAAATGAGTTTGAAGCCGATCGGATGGCAAGCATAAAGTTGCATTTAGTCACTTTCCGCCAATTTGTCACACTTGCGATTGGCACTTCTGAAATCGCGAAAACGCGTATTAAGTGATATGTTGCACTTTGTAAGTTTGAAGCCGATCCGACGAAACCTTAAAGTTGGCCCACAATTATCCGCATTTTCCATCCAAGTGAGTAGATTTAGCGCAAAATGTAAACTATATCTCTAGAATATATATTCATCCAGATGCTTGGAGCTGTATTTGAGCCAGAAACTTCACCCACCAATTGTTTGACCCCCATTTTAACCAAAGAAGGATGTGTTTATGGGAAAGTGTAGAACAAATCTCAAATGAATTTGAACTACCGATTGGATGGTAAACAAAAAAGTTGTACCCATCCGTTTTCAACGATTTTTATGTGGAACAGTGAGGACAAACAGCATTATATATTGCGATATATAGGGTTGAAGCGACTGATCGAATGTCTATACACTGTAAAAATTTAGGATTGGTTTGTGATAGCTTGTCTAAGTTCTCAAATATTATTTATATTTTGGCAAATTCGAAACAAACTATATTGCATTGCAGTCATAGAAAGGAGCAATCGAAAATGAGTCTGATTTAAAACAATTTTATTGTTATGGGCGTAGAAAATAAAATGATTTTAGTTACGATTTCTTTACCAAATACTTGGTAGATTAACAATTGAATCAATTTTCTTAATATGTCTGCGAGGGCATTAAATCAACGGAGTTGTTAAAATTTGTTCTCCAGCTTTTTACGGATCCTACTGCATACAACCCATGTTGGATGAGCCACAAGACTGGGTATTGCGATTCCAGTACAAGCCGGTGGGACATGTGAGCACAGATGGGGTTGGGCCGCAGTAGATAAACTTTTGGCAATCTCCGGGATATGGCAGATATGGCATATTAACGGCATTTTTGCAGAGATACTCCGGGTCGAAAGGTGTATTATAGTCTGGTTGCGTTATTGGCTGGGATGTAGGCGGCGGCGTAGCAGCAGTTGGCACCAAAGGAGAAGGCGAGCTGCTTGGTGGCGAGGTTGCAGGTGATCCCGTGCAGCCCGCATATTGTGGCAGATCGCAGCGCTCGTAGTGCACATTCCAATGATAGTTGTTGGGGCAGCGCAGAGTAAGCGTCTCATAGTAGCGAGTGCAATCTCCCGGATATGCGCTATACCTGACAGGCTGATTAATATCTGGTAAATCCGTATTTTCGCAATTGGAGTACTGCCTGTAGTCACAGCGATAGGTCAGCTGGCTCCAATAGTAGTTATCGGGACACTGATTCAGATATGCCAGGCCATTCATGCAGGTGTAGTACTTGCGGCAGTCGCTGGGATAGGCAAACATCACAATATGATTGGGATCGTCGTAGGCTGGGCACTGGCCGAGTTGAATAGGTGGTTCAGTCGGTATGAGCTGTACGTTAGATGTTGTTATTCAAAGTTCCCGCTAACCAATCCTTGCCTCGACTTACCGATCTATTGCCGTATCCAATACCAACGCCATAGTTAGCCGAGGCTATGGCAAACCCAAGCAAGCAAATGAGGATCGTAAATTTCATCGCTTTAAAAGAAATGAATACTCAACTCCTGTTTTTTATTCCTGTTTCGATTAAAGAACACTTACTGTTGATTGTATCAGCAGAGTCCATTGAAAGTACTCAATGCTCTTAATTTCTACTCCCGCTTTTTATATGATTGCTTATCAATTTTATCGCTGATATCTTTATGTCTTGATCAGCGTAAGGAATGCGCGGCTATTAAGAATTAATATTGGTAAACATTAAAATACCAAAGAAATTGTTGTGTCGAGAGCTATCAAAACATGTGTCTTGATTTAATATTTATATTGTAGGTCAATATCAGGCACATGCAAAAAGTACTTATAGTAATATTTATATGCCTAGATATAATCTCATATTGTTTTAGATGTTGTTATTGACCTTGTGTCGAGTATAGTTGATAACACACTGCGATATTATATAAAGCCAAGCAACAGCTGAACAAAGCGGCCATTTTAACCACGAGAGACAAAAGTAAGTAAGCTATAAAATACTCAGCTTAAAAGCCAATTTGTTAACTTGTCTTTTATTTGTTTGCAGTGTTATTTCAAATATGGTTTATTTTTGCACTGTCTGCCCTGAACAGCATCTCGACATCACAAACTCTTCAATCGGCTGACATAACGCACATGCCCTACCCAGGCGACTGTAATCGCTACTACGAGACGCGAACTCTAAACTGTCCAGCTAATTCCTACTGGAGTGAGAAATTGCAGCGTTGCGAAACTATGGAACTGAACAACTGTCCAACATCTGCTCACACCTCCAATCCATCGGAAAATCGACATGATCATAGCTTCGCTGCGTTATGTGCTGCTCAGAATGGGGTTTTTATACCCTACCCCGGCGACTGCACTCGCTTCATTCAGTGCGACTATCTGCCCTTCGTTAAGACCTGTCCTCCGTACTTGTTTTGGAATTCCAAGCTGCTCACTTGCGATAAAATATGTGTGTAGCTTTTTGGATACACAAAATTAAGGATATTTTACAATTCCGAGATAAATATCGGTATACAAAGAATATAAAAGAAACCATTTCATTGCTCAAGTTTGTGTGTTTATGATTTTATTAAATTTATTGCGAATCAGAAGGATTAGTTACTCTTACAGATGCCAAGCCTGCAATTGGAGCTCTGCCTGTCAAATCCATAGCCATCGGCGCATTTGCCTTCGAAGACTTGGCTCTGTATGCAAACGTAAAACTTGGTACAATCGCTGTGACTGAAGTAGGCATTGGCATTGGCGGGATTTTGGCAGTCCGGCTTGAGGTCTGCGACACAGCTCCAATCCTTAATACACGCTGCACTCTCTGCACTGTAGGCCTCACCATATGGGCAGCTGCGCTTCATCAGATTCTTGTTAGTGCATCCGTAGTATTCATTGCAGCTCTCGGCCGCATATGTGCTATAGTTGGATTCGCACAGCTTCGCTGGGGTGGCGCATTTGGCCAGTGCCGGCGATACGCATTCCTGTTCGGAGCGTGAGTAGTGTTTGCCCAGTGGGCAGGCCACATAGACGGGCTCCATTTCGATCAAACAGATCCAGAAGTGGGAGCAATCCACTGATGGTATTTTTTCTCCTGCTTTCAATTCATTGCAGAACGTAACTGCAATTTCCTTGTCACTGGGAGTAGTTGGAGTGCAGGCTCTCTCGCTGCAGCTCTTCAAGATGGGATCAAAACAAGTGCTCTGTAGGCAGCTGCGCACTTCTGGCACTTCATAGGCGCATACAATAAACTGGTCATTCTTGTCTGGATAAGGCAACAAATCATACTGAATGCCCTTGCATTGCTGAAGGGCAAACAAAACACTTAAGTGACATAACTGTCGCTCAAAGGTTCCAACTTTTCGCTTACCTCTTTTAGATTTTGGGCTCTGGCTCCCAAAACAAATATCAAACCTACAATAGCAAGTGCTATAAACGAAATATTTCATTGAAACAAATAAACTGTTGATCCAACTACAATTCACTTACTAAACCCTTTCATTTCGTCTCCGTCCACAAATTATTTCGACTGTCTTTCTGGTCTCAAATCCGAAGACTTTTATACAGTTTCCACCAAAGGCGACTACCAGAATCATTTTTTAATTACAATTGCTCTGAATGTAATTGCTTTGTTATGATTTGTTACAAATATATCTTATACCTGGTAAATGATTTTGTATCTTTTGCTGCTCTGCATCTGGTGCTCCCCATACTCTTGTTGATTATTTTTTGAAAGCTTTTTTGCCAAAGGAGAACAAAACAAAAACTGTCTCTTCTGCATGGCGAAGACTTAATACCCTTGCAGACAAACAAATCAAGCGAATCCAATAGTAGGAGTAATATAATTAATTAACATAAATTCATTTTATCATTATATAATAAAGGGCAAAAACAAAAACGATTAAGCCTAGTTTCGAAAGATATTTATTAACTGACAGACGGACAGTTAACAGCAAGTCTATCAAAGTGTACGCATTTTGCGTTCGAATGTCAATACTCTTTGTGAGGGTACACAAAATAAAAATCAGCAAGTATTTCTGGGTATTTTGAAAGAAAGCGATATCGTTGATTTGTTGCATTTTATCGAAAGCGTTATCGCTGAGTTGTTGCTTTTTGACGGTTGACGTTTATTTGACATCGACTTGAAGTTCAAGGGCTGTTGCACTTTATTTGTAAGTACATTTATTTATCTTTTATGCTGTCTCTTAATTTTTTCATTGTTATTTTTCCTATTTCAAGTTAACGTTTAGTTTTTTTTTCTCGTGTAGAAACACAGTGAATTACTTGCTGCACTTCTTATCAAATTTTTGCGTAACTTATAAGTGGTTAACAACAGATAACGATTAATTAAGCCATGTCATAGACATAAAGAAGTAGGGCTGCAAGCGCATTGTTCTGGTTGACTGAGGCCGTCAATCGAAGATAGAAATATATTTTTTATATTTATACCCTTGCAGAGGGTATTATAATTTTGTCGTGAAATGTGTAACGCATAGAAGGAGACATCTCCGACCCCATAAAGTATATATATTCTTGATCAGTATCAACAGCCGAGTTGATATAGCCATGTCCGTCTGTCCGTCTGTCTGTTTCTATGCGAACTAGTCTCTCAGTTTTAAAGCTATCTTTATGATAGCCAGCTGGATCGGACCACTATATCATATAGCTGCCATAGGAACGATCGGTCGAAAAGTAGGTTCTTGTATGAAAAACATTTTTGTTTATAAAGTTATCTTAACTAAACTCGGTATTTATTAGTTTTACTACGCTCCCCATATATATGCAAAATTCTATAAGGATCGGGCAACTATATCATATAGCTGCCATAGGAACGATCGGTCGAAAATTAAGTTTTTGTATGGAAAATTTTTATGTTTTTCAAGATATCTTGACCAAACTCGGTCCTTATTAGTTTTACTACGCTCCCCATATATATGCAAAATCGTATTAAGATCGGACAACTATATCATATAGCTGCCATAGGAACGATCGGTCGAAAATTAAGTTGTTGTATGGAAACCTGTTTTGTTTTTCAAGATATCTTAACCATACTCGGCATTAACTATTTTCCCTGTGCTTCTTAGATACGGGCCAAGCACTATGAGCATTTTGAAAAGGTTGGGTCTGCAAGGGTATTAAATCTTCGGCGTGCCGAAGATAGCACTTCTTTCTCGTTTTAACTGATTTGCTAAACTTTCTATTTAACCATATTTAAAGTTAGACGATTTTCAAACCTTTTTTTTTGCAGCAGCAAAATATTCATTTCAGTAGAATGCTAATGTTGCTCTTTTGATATTATTGATGAATATATTTTGCAAATTTAACAAAACTCTCTCGTTTTACGGAGATTTTCTAAAACTCGCATTCATAGTCGCATCTCTGAAGTGGTTGGTTCCAGAATAGACCTGGTGGACAATTCATTGAAATTCCAATATCATAAACGCACTGAATGTATTTGGTGCAATCGGATTCATCGGGCAAAAATTGATTTCCCCAGGAGCAATCAGATTCCGGCGATTCAGGGACAGACGGATCGTTTTCGCAATGTTCTGAGCTCCAGCTGCAAACGTCTAGCGAGGGATCCCAGTAGAGTCCGTTGGGGCATGAGTGTAAAAATCCTATGCCATATGCGCACATGTAGAATTGATCGCAATTTGGCGCTGGCAGAAATTGGACACCATCTTCACAAAAAACAGGTGGTTCGAAGGTGGGTTCAATTTCTGTTGTTGCAGATGCTGATGTCTCGGTTGTGTCCGTTTCTGCAGATGTTGACTCGCAATGTTCTGAGCCCCAATTGCAAATGTCTACCGAGGGATCCCAGTAGAGTCCGTTGGGGCATGAGTGTAAAAATCCTATTCCATATGCGCACATGTAGAATTGATCGCAATTTGGCGCTGGCAGAAATTGGACACCATCTTCACAAAAAACAGGTGGTTCGAAGGTGGGTTCAATTTCTGTTGTTGCAGATGCTGATGTCTCGGTTGTGTCCGTTTCTGCAGATGTTGACTCGCAATGTTCTGAGCCCCAATTGCAAATGTCTAGCGAGGGATCCCAGTAGAGTCCGTTGGGGCATGAGTGTAAAAATCCTATTCCATATGCGCACATGTAGAATTGATCGCAATTTGGCGCTGGCAGAAATTGGACACCATCTTCACAAAAAACAGGTGGTTCGAAGGTGGTTTCAATTTCTGTTGTTGCAGATGCTGATGACTCGGTTGTGTCCGTTTCTGCAGTTGTTGTCTCAATAGTTGAAGTTTCCAATGTGGTTGACTCATCAATTGGCAGCGCAAAAGCGGTTATCGCATAGAAAAGTATTATTCCAATTAAGCTCGCTAATTTGTAGGATACGAAACAAAATGTCCTGTATTTTTTTTATGTTTTAGGTTGGATTTTGTTTGGTTTCTAATTTACCTTTCATTTTAACGGTTTGTTCCTATTCGTCTGCCTGCTCGAGTTCGTATGAGTGGAATAATACTGAACTATCAGACCTTATATACTTAGCAATATAATCCCTGTTTCTTTGGGGACTTACAACAATCAGTCGATTTGAACGTTTTTACCGCCCTCAATAGACGGAAATAGATAAGCGCGATTGGTTTTATTTACGACAATATTTCACTTCCCAACAAGATCATGGCTAAGTGGACTGAGTTATTAATCAATATTTCAAATTAACTTCAAATTATTTAACAAGTTTATAGAACTGACGGCTGGCAGCTAGATTTATGTACTTTCTGTCCATAGCAGCTGCACCCATGCACATTTCAATCAAATATGGACAGACTAGCGGCTATTGCAAGTTTTGTGCCTAAAATTGTATATATACGTTTTTCACACGTGAACAATTTTAGATTGCCCGTACTATCTTGAACTCCACATATATTTGCTTTGAAAACATCGCAAAAAACTTAAAAGTGCCCAAAAAATATTTAAATTTTCCATGCTTAGATTCTGCGAAAAATGGGAAACACGTCTAAAATGATTTTTCATAAAGATTTTTGGAAATGAATTTAAGCCCGAAACTTCAACCACCTAATATTTGTTTGGTCCCCATTTCCACCAAGGAGAAATGGATTTTCCAAAAACTGTGAAACAACTCTCAAAATAAATTGAACAAAGACCTTTGAAAACAAAAATGAAGCTGATTGAATGGTAAACAAACTGGTCGCAGGTAACTACTGTGAAAATTTCACTTTCCTGTCACTCTGGACAAACAGTTTTATATATAGAGATGGATAGACAAAAAGTCAAAGCAATAAAGAAAAATATATATCATGTTAGAGATGCCTTTGTCAGTAATTTAACCCAATGTAAGTGTGTAAAATGTAAACAATAAAATTTAATAAATAAACTTTATCACATATAATTAACCGGCTTAAAAAAATTAAACGATGTTAATGAGCTACTCCCAAACTACTAATAACTTCTCAATTCTACTCCCAATTTCAATTAATTCTGCGGGGAAAGGATTGTAAAACTGGTTGTGTAAAGTGGAAAGTTGTCTGCATGTCAGCCGTTCCATTCATATCATTCGGAATCAGGCATAAAGCTTAGCTGTTAATTACCCAAATAAAAAAACATTCCGATGTGTATCTCTCATTCTGGCTTAGTTTGCCTTTCAGCATTTTGTCGGCTGCCATACGATATATCACAAGCCATTTAAAAGTTGAGCAACAATAAAAAATTATAGAAGGCAACTTTTTTAATTGTCCAGCTAGCAGCTAATTATTTAGGCCAAAAAAAAAAAACAAAAAAATGGTTGCGGCATCAAAAATTAACGGTTTTAAACAACCGCTGGCTGCCGAGATTTGTCTAAAAATCAGCCAAAACACCAGAGCTTTATAGCCATTTATAGCCGTTTGTAGCGGTTTTTAGCAGAATTTTAGTAGTTAGTACTGCATACTTTCGTGCTGTCTACATAATGCGTTGAAATTAAAATTAAAATTGAAATATCTCGGGTACCATATGTCCGATTTCGAAATAACATACCTCTTTCTTCTCGTACGGATCCCGACTATCGATTGACACCAAAAAATCGGAATTCTAAGAAATGGCCCAATTTGAGAAAAACTACTATGTTTTTTGAAAAAAATTACGATGTTGGCTGAAAATGGCTGTGACCACGAGTCGAACGAGACCAATCTTTCCAAGATCGGGGCTTATTTGGCCGAGATACAGATAAAAAAAAAATGCCGTTATAATTTTGAAGATTTTTCGTTTTTTTCCGATATTTCGTCTAAAAATGGTCAGATTTTGGAAAGTTATACCTTTTTGAACTCGTACTGATTTGTGAAATCGACTTGCATACCACGTTTTTTGGTTTCGTTTGGAAATCCCAAATTTTTTAAAAAAAAACAGGCAGACGAACAAAAATCAAAAATTTCATTGCATACCCAAACGGAGCGGTGGAGCAGCTGAAGTACCAGTACAAATCTGCTTTAGGGAACGCTCCCGCAGGGAGTGCTGGGGCCCACGCTCTACACACTCTATACACATGACATGCCCACTGGCTCTACAATTGAACTCGTGGATCTACAGGACCTAACCATCGCCACATTTGCAGATGACACAGCCATCTTATCAAGAAATGAATGTGTCTACGAAGCTACTGACGTCCTGCAGCAATACCTCCACAAATTTGAAATGTGGGTAAACGCTGGAACACTGGCATAAATTTAAATAAATGTGCCAATGTGACCTATGCGCTCCGATGAACAGCTACAAATACTTAGGGGTGCACTTAGACAGGCGTTTAACCTTTAGTAAACACATCTCAAGTATCACAGGAGCCCTGAAAAGCAGATTAGGCAAATTCAGATGGCTGCTCAACAGTATCTTTAAAAAAACAAAGTAAACCTGCCTAGCTCCTGCCTGGCGATATGGTATTCAAGTTTACGGTATTACTGCAAAATCGCGCCTTACGAAAATCAGGGTGTTTCAAGCAAAAACGCTCCGTTATCTGTCTGGTGCCCCCTGGTATATGCGAACTTCCGATTTGGAAAAAGACCTAGGAGTGCCCAAGGTCGGGGACGTCATAAACAAACAGACTGCAAACTACATAACGCGACTGGGAAACCATCCAAATCGACTTGCTAGGCGTCGAATTGGAGGAGTCCGAACGCGGAGGAGATTGCGGAGGTCTCATCCAATCGATCTCCCAGATCGATATATATAGTCCCTGTAACCTTGTTTATTTTATATTAAATAGTAGACTAAGTAGTATTGTACATTTTCTAATAAATTTAATTTAAGTTGTTCTTATAATAAAAAGGAAAATTAAAATAAAGCTAAGAAATTTAAATTAAAAAAAAAAAAAAAAACTCCCAATTTCAATTTCTGCTAAGAAAAAAAGCTAAGAAATGTGGACACATTTGAATAAAATGAGTAACAATTTCAATGTGGCTTAAAAAAAGAGTTGAAATAGGATACTAAACGTATTCTCGACCATGGTTCAAGTATATCGATTTGTTGTTTACAGTCCTCACTTGATTCTGGCCAATAACAATGTGAATTTGATTGAAATATGTAACTTTATGCAAATCGTGTTTAGAGTCAGATAAGATAAATACTTAACTGCCATGTTATGTACTAATTAGATATTGATAAGGTGACCATAGACGATGCATTTCCAACTGATATAAATATAAAGAGCACAGCATGCACTTGCTCTAGTACAGATAAGTACTTGATCCCAGAACAAAATGAAATGTGAGTTTTGTAGAAAGTGAAGTGTTCCTAATTATCTCAGCCCAAGCACTATATCAAGGGAAATGTTTATTTATTTCAGTGGCCTCCTGGATATTTGTATCGTTGCAGCTGCTGCTCCTGATAACAGCACTCAATGCAAGACGATGTGTTAAGCCAAGTCCAGCACCAACGACACCCACAGCACCGTCCTCCACTCAATCGACCTCCACTCAATCGACACCCACTGACAGCGGCTCAACTGAGACGCGGAGTACCTCAACAACCGCATTACCCACTGACGCATCACCGACTCCAAGCGATCCAACCGTGTCAACTGAGGACCCGGGCACTCCAACAGAGTTGCCACCAACTTCAACAGATGTTGGACCCACCGAGGTGCCAAATACGACAACCCACAGCACGCCAACAGAGTTGCCACCAACTTCAACAGATGTTGGACCCACCGAAGTGCCAAAAACTTCAACCCAAAGCACATCAACAGAGTTGCCACAGACTTCAACAGATGTTGGACCCACCGAAGTGCCAAAAACTTCAACACAGATCACATCAACAGAGTTGCCATCAACTGCAACAGATGTCGGACCCACCGAAGTGCCTAAAACTTCAACCCTGGGCACATCAACAGAGTTGCCAAAGACTCCAACTGATGTTGGACCCACTAAAGACCCAGACACAACTTTAGGTGAAACATATACGGCACAGTCAACAACTAGAGCGACAGCATTGTCTACCCTTTCGACATCAACAACAACGGAGACCTATGTGGATGCCAACGCGATGTGCAAAAACCATCCCGGTGTGGAGTACCTGCCACATCCCTATAACTGCCACCAGTTTATACAGTGCGATGGTGACCGGGGATTTATTAGAACATGTGCAGGCGATCTCTACTGGGACTCTAAGGTCCTAACTTGCGATAGAGAGTGCGCCTAATACTAATATGCTACAAAAATATTTATATACATATGCAAATATATCCAGAACAAAAATTGTAAATGTGCTTTTAAATATTTTGGGAGCAGTAGTATTGCCATTCCATGGTTCGATAATGCACTTCATTCACAACCAATTAGGTGCTGATTATATTGATATGAGGGGAGTGGCCGAACAGAGTCTACGACAATATAGATTTGTTGTCTTCCCGGAATTGATGCAAAAGTCTTGAACTCAATTAAAAAATACTTCATGGACGCATGTTTAACAGAAACTACAATACTGATAAAGTACGCGCGCTGATCGATCGATGCTGATAAGCAGAAATCAATGTTAACTGCGATCTCTTAATATGTGTATATAAAGGGTTTGAAATTTTGGTAATTGGGCGGAGTACAATCATAGCAATAGACGTGGAATATTAGTGCATAGAAATGAAAGGTCAGCAAAGGACCACTTTTGACTCTCGTCGAGTGTTGACAAAAATTAATTATTTGCTCAACTTTCTCTAACTTTTCCCAATAGTTACTCTGCTTGCTGTGGTTACGTTGACCGCAGTGGCATCCCTTGCCGGCGCTGCTGATCCTGAATGCGTTTACCGCAAGCTACGTGGCCTGTCACCACATTGGCCGAATCCCACCAGCTGTTCCAGCTATTATCGTTGCTCCACCAAGAATACTGTGCGCTCCGTTAACTGCCCCACCGGCAAGGAGTACAATCCGAAAACTGGCAAATGCTCAACAGCAGGACGTGGTCTATGCAAACTGAGCCTGGCCGCGCCCCTGGCGGATGTAAGTCTGCGCCTCGAACTGATTCCGGTGATTCACTGCTCCTATATCTTATTCATATTTTTCTAGTCCAGCAACGTTTGTGCCAGCGAGGTGAATGGCGCCTATTTGTTGAAGACTGACTATTGCAAAGATTTCTATATCTGTAATGAGCAGCTGGCGTATGCCCAGTCGTGTGATGCTGGCAGCTACTTTGATATCCAGACAAATGCTTGCGTTCCAGACACAGACGGCGAGTGCTGGCAAAATCAATGCGCGGACAAAGAAAATGGCCAGTTTCTGCCTAGCAACACATCCTGCGCCACATATTACGTCTGCCAGGATCAGGAGGCCACGTTACAATCCTGCGCCAGTGGCACCTACTTTGACCCCACCTTAGCAGCTTGCGTCGTTGATGAGGATAACTCGCAATGCTGGGAGAACTTCTGCATTGGTAAACCCGATGGCTCCGCGGTGGCTGATGAGCACAACTGCTCTGTCTTCTACATGTGCTTACAGCAAAAGGCAACCGCCCAAGAGTGTCCAACTGGCAGCTACTTCGATGTATCGGGTCCGCACTGCGTACCCGGCACATGCCCCGACAAGAATGGCACCACCACCACCACGCTGGCTCCACCCACAGAGTGTGACTGCGCCGATGGCTCCAGTCATGGAGAGCTAGTTCCCGATCCGGATAACTGCCGTTTATATTTTACATGCTTCAATGGTGAACTGGTGCCCGGAGATTGCCATCGGGGCAACTACTTTGATCCTGAGATCAGAGTATGCGTGATAGACAGCAATAACTGCTGCCCCGACAGCTCAGCTTCAGACTGCGTTGATGGTGATGTGGCTGTCGATGCGCAGAATTGCAATCAGTATTATGTGTGCGAAGACGGCAACTGGCAGTCAAAGACCTGTCCAAGCGGATCCTATTTCGACACTGACCTTTCCACTTGCGTAATAGATGTGGACAACGTGTGTCCCCAATGCAGTACTGGCAGCGATTCCGATTCCGACTCTGGCTCTGGCTCGGGCTCTGGCTCTGGCTCCGGCTCAGGTAACGACAACAACACCGTGATCGTGACTCCATCTGTGCCAGGTCGAGTTACTCCTATTGTTGTGGGCGGTGTGTGCAAGGATATCAAAGCAGCTGTTGCTGCCGATAACTGTTGGAGCTATTATGCCTGCATCAGTGGCATCTGGAAGAAGGAATCCTGCATTGGTGGCTTCTACTTCGATGCCTCCGTGGGCATCTGTCGCACGGATGACAACAATCTATGCCCCGAGAACAAGCTGTTGCAGACGAATTCGCGTAGCAAGCGTGCAGCAGACAGCGACTGCACTTGCCCCAATGGCCAGGCTGAGGGTAGCATGGTTGCACATCCAACGGACTGCGACAAGTATCAACTCTGCCATGATGGTGAACTGATCGACGGCACCTGTGGTCAGGGCAATATATTCAGCAATAGCGAGGGCGCCTGTGTACCCGACACCGATGCCACCTGCTGGATATGTCGCAACAGACCGAACGGTTACCAGACGATCGACCCTGCTGATTGTACCTCCTACTTAACCTGCTCCGATGGATTGGCTGTGCCTTCCACCTGCCCAAGTGGCGAGTGGTTTGATGGCAGTGCCTGCAGAATCGATGTCACTGGACAGTGCATAAATCCCTGCAGCTGTGGAACTGGTAATGTGGCACATCCTATCTGCTCCAAATACTTCCAATGCACCGACGGAGTTCCGCAAGTGGTTGATTGCGCTGCGGGCGAGGGTTTCGATTCAGCGACTGGCAAATGCTCCGCCAAAGTGAATTGCACTGCTAATCTGTGCGCCACAGCTGACGATAACGCCGCCTTCCCTGTCGCCAACGATGACACAAAGTTCTACTTGTGTCTCGACAATGTCGCCACGATTCGTTCCTGCCCGCCGGACGCAATATTTGACACAACCCTTTTGATTTGTCTGGCCCAGCCTAGTGTAAGTGCAATAGTACACTAAAACTGGATATGGATAAGTTAACTAAAAGGTAACTAAACTCTTTATGAATTGCAGAGCTCCTGTGATCAATCGATATGCAAGAAAGCCACAGTGAACCAGGCTTACCCGTCGCTCACTTGTGATAACAGCACATTCTGTCTCTGCGAAAGCGATGGCGCCTTTTTGCAGAACTGCCCTTCGGGTTATACATTCAATGAAACGCTAGAAATATGCACATTTGTAAGTATTCGATTTGAAGAGTGCATAGAGTATAGAAATTTTTACTCTACTATCATATAATAACATTTCAGACGGGTCCTTGCGATCCTCTAGCGTGTCAGGGCAAAGAGGAATACTCCGTTTCGGTAAACTATGATGATCCGGATAGTTTTTGTCTATGCCGCGTCAGCGAACCCATACCAGTACCCTGTCCCATTGGATATTCCTTCGATGGCACACTACTCCTGTGCGTGCTTGCCCCACAGCCAGATGTAGGTTGAATTCTTAATATGAATTTAAATATGATCTATGCTAATACTCCAAAAATTATAGCCCAGATGTTGTCGCAACTATTGTGTTAATAAGGCAGACGATGTCACATTCCCAGCTCTAAATTCGGAAACTGGCTTCTGTTACTGCATCTCAGAGGTGCCCACGTATAGAGAATGCCCGCCTGGAAAAACATACGATGACTCTTTAGGCATTTGCTTGGCTGTAAATACTCTCCTTATCAGCCCCTTTTTTCCGAAAGTTATTTTTTTTATCTGTTCCGCAGGCGGATACCTCATGCATCTGCAATGAGTGCGACTCAACAATGTGTGCTGATAATATAATACCGAATAAAGCTTTTCCAGCTAAGGATACCATAGAAGGCTTCTGCATCTGTGAGGACTTCTGCGCTGAATATATCCTTTGTCCTCCGGGCAAAGAATTCAACACGGAACTAGAGATTTGTTTGGAGTCGGTAAGCGTGTGACTGAGCCTTTCATATTGCATTGATATTGATGATGAATTTCAATTTCTTTAAAATGTAGGGTCCAGATGTCTGTGATGCGACACAGTGTGATACTCTTGCCGAAAATCAGCCATATGAAGCAAGCAATGGCACTTTGGGCTTCTGTTACTGTGAGGGAGGAATACCGAATTACAGTCTTTGTCCGGATGGTAAGGTGTTTGATGCTCTACTGGAAATATGCCTGGAATCAGTAAGTCACTCAATTCTACTCTAATCCAATACAATTAATTATATGTCGGTTGTCTTCAACAGAATTGCTTGTCAAGCCAATATTGTGACTCCGAAAAGTGTTCATGCCTTCCGGAATATGACACATTCCCCTCATCGAACGAAGAGGATGACACAAGCTTTTGCGAATGTATTAACGGCACAGCAATCTATAAGAACTGTAACGACGGAAAAGTGTACAATGCCACCGATGGAATCTGCGAATTAGTTGAGGTGGGTTTGATTGCAGTTGTTGTAATCATTGTGGATTCTTAACGAGTGTATTTGACAGGCACCTAGCTCCGTTTGTACTACTGGAAAATGTGCAAAACTGCCTGATAACTCCAACTTCGCAGCTCTAACCACTACTTCAGGCTTTTGCCTGTGTATCGATGGTATCGCTATCTTCGAGTCCTGTCCATTGGGCAAGGAATACAATGCCACATTGGAATTATGCCTGGACACAAATACCAAAGCCAATCTGAAAACGGCTTGTGATGCCACTCAGTGCAACAACCGCGCTGAATTAACCACTTTTGCAGCCAGGGATTCGGTGAATGGATTCTGTACATGCCAGACCGAAGGAATTGCTACCTATCAGAGCTGTGGTGAATTCCATATCTTTGATCAGACCTTTAATGTTTGTGTGGTCGATGCTTGCGATCCGGCGCTATGCAGAACTCGTTCCAAATTTGACACGTTCGCAGCAAGGAATACAACCAAGGGCTTCTGCTCCTGTGATGTTGTGCCCACATATTATCATTGCACCGCTGGACACGTCTTTGACCTGGGCCTGGGCGTCTGCGTGGATGAAGTGACGGCGGCTGTTGCTGCCTGTGATCCTCGTGATTGCTTGAATCGTGCACGTTTCGAGGCATTTGCAGCGAAGAATACGTCCGAAGGATTTTGCTCGTGCGATGGAAAGGCGGAAATTGTAACGTATCACACATGCACAGGCGGCAAACTCTTTGATCGCAACTTGAACATGTGCCTGATCAAGGAACATGGCATACAGAAGAGATCTGTGGAGCCGGAGGAAAAAGTAAGATCACTATCATTCCTTAAAAAATTCTTCCAGAAGCTTGCATAAG